GTGTCACAGTGAAGCTGAGCACGTTCCCCTGTGCACACACGTTTGCACATGCATGACCAGCCGCACAGGGCACAGCACCCACAGAAGCTCCATCAGGATTAACGTCTGCTAGTTATCCGTGTATGTGTGCATGCATCCTGGGGAAGGATGGGTGCTGCTGCTGCACCACCACGTGCTGTTTACTGTCCGGGCTACAAAGCATCTTTGTTCCTCTCCTCAGGACACCCTGAATAACAACTCTCTGGCAAAAAAGCACAGTTGGCAGGAGCGGGTGTCCCGGTCATCATCCCCTCTGAAAACGGGTGAGTTCTCAAGCTGTTGGCCAGGGGCAGCTCCTTGCACTATTTTGTGGGTCTTAAGAGCCTGGGGCAAGTGATGCTGGTGCAGGAGGTCAGGGAAACCATCCCACATGGATGCAGGGTGGGTCTGGGTGGCATCCCCAGAAGGGAGCATCACCCTCTATGGGCCTGCCAATGCTTCTCTTCTCCCCCTGCAGGTGAGCAGACCCCTCCCCACGACCACGTTTGCCTGAGTGATGAGGTCAATCACCAAAACAGCACAACCTCCACCAAAGACCGGGGCACATCCACGGAGAGCCCGTGCCGGCGCACAGCAGCCACCCAGATGGCACCCGCCTGCATCGCCACATCCCGGCCACCTGAGAAGCACCAGGCCACCAGCCGGCCCCCGCCGCACGGTGCCAGCGTGGTGGTGGTGACATCCAGGGTCCCCGAGGCCCACCGGGACCGCATCCACTATCAGACAGACGTAAGGCTGGAGGCCACGGAGGAGATCTACCTGACGCCCGTGCAGAAGAACTCGGATCCTCTGGAGACTGACAAGCCATTCCTGTCTCAGTCCAGCGAGAACCGCATGTCCATCAGCTCCGACGTCGACACCTCTGGCTACTCGGCCCTGGCAGGGAAAACCAACCCCTCCATCAGCGAGGAGGATGAGGTGCTGGACTACATGTCCTCCCCTGACAAGATGAACCTACCCAGGGCTTCCTGCGGTGCTGGGAGCAATGGCTCCCGGCCAGGGCACAACCTCCAGAGAGCCTCGGTGAGCTCGGACACCAGCGCCCTGTCCTATGACTCGGTCAAATACACGCTGGTGGTGGACGAGAACGTGCAGCTGGAGCTGGTGAGCCTCAAGCAGTGCTACTCGGGCTACAGCGATGAGAGCGACTCGGCCACTGTCTATGACAACTGCATCTCCTCGCCCTACGAGTCGGCCATCGGCGAGGAGTATGAGGAGGACGCGCTGAAGCGCGACTCAGTGTGCCTGTCCGAGGACTCCACTCCCGAGGCAGACATCCACTTCTCCAAGAAGTTCCTCAATGTCTTCATGAGTGGCCGGGCACGCTCCTCCAGTGAGTGCGGGGCACGGGGGGAGCTGAGCAGCAGGCACTCGGTACAAGGCTGAGGGCACACTCAGTACGTGGGAAGCCACCAGCAGACAAGAGCCCCAGTTCTTGCTGCAGCCTTTGTGGCTTTGTTCCTGGTGGCTGGGGAGGCATGGGGGGGCTTGGAAAAGCCTTGTGAGCCTGAGGGGTTTCAGGATGCTCTTTTGCCTAGCCCAAGGTATGTCCATACTGAGGGGGAGGTTAAGTGGTCTTGCAGGGGGATGGCACCCTCCTGGAGTGCTGCCCTTCTCCCCAGCCCCAGAGGAGCACTGGTGGTGGTATGTCTCAGAAGCAGGGCTTCCCGTGGTTCAGCTGGTCCCACAATGCTGGTGACACCGCATGGCTTTGTCTCTTCTGCCTGGCCCATGCCCATCCCTTGTCTATGGTGCTGAGACGTCCCCCTCTGCCTTCATCCCCAGGTGCTGAGTCCTTCGGGTTGTTCTCCTGCATGATCAACGGGGAGGAGCAGGAGCAGACCCACCGTGCTGTCTTTAGGTGAGCTTGCAGGCATGAGCGGGGCTCCCAGCCTCTTACAGGGGAAAGCTGGTGCTGCCCTCTCACTGCAGTGTGGCCAGCCCAAACCCCAGTGTTTCCACCATGGGAAGCCCCAGACCATTGCCTGTAGCTCGTGCCCTGCTCAGGAGCAATATCAGCCCAGGCTGCTGCAGGGGCAACACCTCTGAGGGCAGCAGGAGTGGTGCAATAGGGGTTATCCTTGCCCTTTTGAGTCTCAACCTGCTCCAACGCTTTATTTAGCCTGGGCCAGTGGTGGGATTTGTGTTGCCACCAGTGAGAAGGCCCCTATGCTGCTGGCCAGCCAGGCACCAGTGCCTCTCTACCCAGGTTTGTGCCTCGCCACGCGGATGAGCTGGAGCTGGAGGTGGATGATCCTCTGTTGGTGGAGGTGCAGGCAGAAGATTATTGGTACGAGGCCTACAATATGCGGACGGGCGACCGGGGCATTTTTCCTGCCTACTACGCTATTGAAGTCACCAAGGACCCAGACCATATAACAGGTACCAAGCTTCTGCTGACATCCCAATCTTGTATCCACCTCCTTTCCGCTGAGCAGAGGCTGGTGCCGAGCAGGGGGATGGAAGGAGGACCAAGGGCAGCCAGCATGAAGTGATAGGCAGCTTCTGGTGTGATGCTGGGAGCTGGTACCCAGTGTTGCAGAGCCAAGGGTGGGAATATGGAGAGGAGAGGTAGATCTCAGCCTGGGCAGTAGAGATGGTTCCCCCTATGTGTTCTCTCTTGCAGCTCTGGCCAAGAGCAGCGACTGGGTGGACCAGTTTCGGGTGAAGTTCCTTGGCTCGGTGCAGGTTCCCTATCACAAAGGCAATGACGTGCTATGTGCGGCCATGCAGAAGGTAATGTCCCACCCTACCAGCAGAAGCAGGAGCTCTTCCTGGCAGCAGGGCAGAACCTCAGTGGGGACAGGAAGGGGTGAGCCATCACCATTGCTCATGAGTCCCAGGCCTTTTTCTCTCTGTCTTTCCCCCAGATTGCCACCACGCGCCGCCTCACTGTGCACTTTAACCCACCTTCCAGCTGCGTCCTGGAGATCAGCGTGCGTGGGGTCAAGATTGCTGTGAAAGCTGATGACTCCAAGGAGCACAGCAAGGTAGTGCCCTGCTCCCCACTCATCCCATCCCTTCCCCAGCTGCTGCTCTGAGCACCATCATTGAGGTGGTAGGCCCACCATCAGGGTCCTCTGTGCATCATGTAATCCTGGTTTTGGGCCATACAGCTGGCTGATGCCCTTGCAGCTCCCAAAGATGTTGCTGTGCTGGGATGCTGAAAGCTGAGCTGTACCAGTAATCTGTCAGCTGCTCCTAAACCTTTCTGCTACTATTTTGAGTGGTGTCCTCCAGATCTGCCCTGTAATCTCTTTAGTGAGGGCAGGCTGCTGATTAGCATCCTGCATAAGCAGCCTAGCAAAGCATGTGCTGGGCAGACAGCTTTTGCAGCAAGCTGTTGGGAAACCTCCCCTACTGCCGGGGGTAGGATTAGTTTATGGCTCTAAGTGCTGTGACAGAGAGCTGGGCTGAGGTTTCTGCAGGTCTTGCCTTTATCTAGAGGATGCCATCAACTTAGTTGCTCTTTAAACTCCTGTAAGTAAGTTCTCATTTCTGGCTGGGGCCCTTTGAACACCCAGGCTTGAATGGCTTAGTTCCATTCACCTTCTATCCATTTACCTCAGTTATCCATTCACCTTCTATCCACTGGCATTTAGCGAGGAAAGACTGTGTGTGCTGGATGAACAGCAGCACAGGCTCGTGCCAGAGTCTAACCCAGGGCCTCCAGGAGCTGCTTAAGATAGAGACAGCTGAGGTGGATGTTTGGGACCATCCTGAAGCTACTGGTAACAGCCCTGGATCAGGCTCTAGTTCATTTCAGTGCTCAATCCAAGCACGTATTTCCAGGTCCAGAGCCCTGCTGCCCCACAGGGGAGTGGGGAGGAAAGCTCTGACAGTTCATTTCTCTCTCCCCAGGTAAACAAGTGTAGCCATTTTTTCCAGCTGAAGAACATTTCCTTTTGTGGGTACCATCCAAAGAACAACAAGTAAGTAGTGAGGTGCTGGGCAGCCCTCAATGCCAGCAGCTCAGCACAGAGGCTTTGCTGCCTTCTCACTGCCTGGGAGCAGCACGACTGGGGCTGGGAAGGGAATTGCATCACAGCAATGGGCATGGGCCATGGCTTGGTGGGGTTTGGGGGGTCTCAGGTCCCAAACCCTTATACTCAAGGGGATGCTGGGGTACCTGTGCCTATTTGTCTGTTGGTCCAGTCACCCCCACTCTGTCTGCCCTCAGGTATTTTGGGTTCATCACCAAGCACCCTGCGGACCACAGATTCGCCTGTCATGTCTTCGTCTCGGAGGAGTCCACAAAGCCACTGGCGGAATCTGTAGGGTGAGTCCTCGCTGGGCAGGGAAGGCTTGATCCCAAAGGGCAGGAGGAACAAATCTTGCCATCTTCCCGTACATGTGGGGCTTGGAACTGGCCCCAGGCTGGCACCTCTTCCTTCAAGCAAGAGGCTTGGGTTGACAGCCAGGGCTGACAGAGCTACAGGCACCATATTCCTGACAGCACTGGAGCACATCCCATTGCAAGGCTTTGCAGGCAGACGGCTGAAAGTCATGTGGATGTGCAGGGATCAGGGCAGGGATGATCTGATGGCAGCTCTGGGTGCTAACACAGAAGCTGGGGGGCTGAAGGGTCAAACTGGCTGCAGGAGCAAGGGTGAGAATGGAAGCAGGGGTCTGTAAATGCCTTGTAGAGAAGGACACTGCTCAGCTTTGCCCCGTGCTGTGTTGCAGGAGGGCTTTTCAGCAGTTCTACAAGGAGTATGTGGAGTACACGTGCCCCACGGAGGACATCTACCTGGAGTAGGGGCTGGCACAGGCACCTCCTGCACAGCCAGGGCTGCAGTGTCGCCCCTTCCCCGTGTCGTGCATGGACAAGAGCTGCTTTGAGCCTGGAGGAGGAGCAGGCCCGGGGCAGGGCTCTCCGGGGCACAGGGTGCAGCCTCTTTTCGTGACTCCCCTTCCTTGGGCTGGGGGGGACGGGAGGGGGGAGGGCTGGACAAATCGTGTTTATTGTACAAAATACTCTTAGTTTATTTTATTGGAGAAGTACCTGCTGGGGGCCCTGCCTGTGAGCGCCGGAGCGTGCTCAGGCCCTTTCCTGCTGCAGGCTGGGGTGACAGCATCTCCTCCTTGTGACCATGGCCCAGCTTCCCGTCACATCCCTCTGGGGTGACTTTTAATGCAGAGTCAGATTCCTGCAATATGAAGACACAGCAGCTACAGCAAACAAAACCCATAATGCTGGCTTCTGCCAGGGGGATGGGCTTGCCTTGGGCAGGCATCACCTCCCTGCCATGCCCTGGGGATATAAAGGCTGCTGGGCAGGAATGACAGAGGAAGCCCCACTATCCCGTCTGCCAGAAACAGCACCAGAATGAGCTGAGACAGCTCACCCCTGCCTCTGCCCCCATCCCTCTTTTCTTGTATCCATGCCCAGGGGGAGAGAGAAATGCCCCTCTATAGCTCCCTGCAGTAACTACACCCTCAGGAGGGGAGCCTTTCTCTGCCCCTTTCTCCTCTCCCCCTGGCTGCAGGTAGCAGAGGCAGTGGCAGAGCTGGGTGCCTACCAGACATGGGGCAGGGAAGGGCTATAGCCTGTAGGGAGCTGAGCAAAGCACTGGGGAGGTAGAAGAGCTCTCCCGGTCCCTGCAGCCAGAGAGCTCTGTGCTTCAGCTGGATCTGCTGTGATGGCAACAACTATTAAATATGATGGTTCATGGAGCAGGGCTGCTGTGCTGTTTGTGTCCCACTGCAGTAGGTTTGGGTCCTGGCTTCCTTCTCCTGGGACCTCAAGAGGAGCTAGCTATAGAGCTTCTCAGATTTGGGCTGAGAGCCCTAGTTGCCTGAAGTCCAGAAATCACTGTGTGATGATCAGAAGGGATGGCTGGAGGTGACCTGCTCCAGTCCCCTCCCAAAGCAGGGTTTACCCTTACCCTACACCCCACACCTACGCTGTCCTGCAGCGAGGGGTCCCTGGGGCCAGGCTGTGGTGGGCACACTGGTTCACATATGGGCATCATCATAGTACTCCTGCAGGTTGAGCTCATCTCTCTTGCTTTTGCCAGCTCTTTGCAGCCACTCCGGCCGCTTCCGTCCCACCCGGGTCCTGAGACGCGGCTGCTTGGGCTTGATGCCGTAATCTGCAGGTGGAGTGGAGAGGTTGGGCTCAGTCCCGGGCTGCTCACAGTGCTGGGGACAAGCACCAGCCTCGAGGGTGAGTGCAGAGAAAGCGGGATAGGGAGCATGCTGTACCATCCACCAAGCCAAAGTGCTGCTGTGGAAGCTCCAGGAGAGCAGAGAAGTCCTCAGGGACTGAGTAGCTGGCCCTGTGAAGGAAAACCAGGGGTGAGAGTGAACCGAGACCCTACAGCACTCACACGCATTGAAATAAAAGCTCCTACACACCCTTTGTCCTGACCCAGCCCAGTCAGGGCTTGTGGGCTTGGTGCCCACGCCAGGACCCCCGGGGTGCCTCTGCAGGTACCAGGGCAGCAGAGAGGAAGGGAAGGAGGAGAGAAATGCCATCACCTCTCATCCAAGGGCCGTGGGAGGGCAGCCCCCAGCAGCAGGGCGAGCAGCAGCAGCCACCACTGCATGCTGCACCCTGACTCTGGCTCTGCACCGAGGTCACAAAGGAGGCCCCGGGACAACAGCTGGGCTGGCAAGGAACAGACCCCCACCCAGGTGCTGCTGCCTACCCCCTCCTGCTACATCAGCTTCTGGTCCTGGGCTGTGTGGTCCTGCCCAGGTTCTGCTCACTGTTCTGTTCTCCCTGCACTGGTGCACATCCCTCCCGTGCAGCCACAGCTCCAGGGCTGTTTCCCTTTCTATGTCCCTCACCACCAACATGTTCCTCCCTTGCTACCCCTTCAAAAGCAAATCCCTTCATTTCATCTCAGTGCCTCCATGTCCCCAGGAGTGACCCCCTGCAATACCCAAATGAAGGGAGCACAGTTCTTCACTCACGGCTTTTTTACACTGCCACATTACAAGGACGTGCCAACACAGAGCCCACTGCACTGTTGTCACCAACTGGCTCATCAGGAGGGTGTGGGCTATACCCCCCTATTTCTGAGGCAGAAAAGCTGTGATCCATGCAGGCCAGAGTCTCTGGATGATGGTTCATGTAGGAACCGCTCCTGTCACCCGCTTGTGGCCAAGGCATCTGGCACTCTGCAGGTCTGCACAGTGCCACCAGCTGGCTGCCCTTTTGTCCTGGCCAAGGGAGCCTCCACAGCAGCGTGATGCCTCAACTGGCCCTCAGCGGAGCTGATACAGAAATGTGGCCATGGCAGCCCAGGCCTCTCTTTGGCCCTGTATTTAGTGTGGAACAGCAGTATTTGCTGAATTAATCTCTTCATTTCTCCTCTTCTCTGCCCTTGGCCAAGCCCATGAGCATTGGCTGGCAGCCATCCTGCAAACCCTTTTAGCACAGACAACTAGGTGCTAGGAACACAGCCTTCAAACCGAAGCTCTTTACCTGCAGGGGGTGCCCTGGAAACTGAGGACTGAACCAGACACGTGGAGTTAGAAAGGCTGCTACAGAGGCTTCTAAAGGACAGTATAACCCAGGGTAGAAAACTGCAAAAGCTGCTCTTTCTGAGACAGACCCACACAGAAGGGGATCCCACACAGAGGGAGAGGTCCTTCACCTCAGTTCTTCCCATTCAGTCAGTTTATTGACAGACAAGCCCGCTCCAAGCAGATTGCCCAGGCAGGGCCAACACAAGCAGGCTGCAGGTCAACCTCAGCGCCACGAGGTGGGAGACAGTGCTCTCCAAAAAACCCCTGTGCTGCCTGCCTTTACGATAGCGCAGCTGTACAAAAGGAGAAAAATCAAGTGCTTAAAAAAAGAGGTTGTCCCATCACCATCACTGTAGCCACAGAATGGTCCAAAGAAAGAGGTGGCCAGGGTCCCTCCACGCATGTAGTGTCCATCATTCACAGGTAGATCTGTTAAAAATATGACATACACCCCCCTCCCCACCCTGCAGAACGGGAGCTTCTCATTGATGGTTTGAAAATTAGACATTATCAACATCCCTCCCAGCCTGCTTGCCCTCCTTAGAAATGTCCAGCCACAATCTTTACAGAGAACAATCATCATCTTCTCATCAGCCCCAGTTATAGAAATAGATTTTCTGCCAAGCAGGCAAATAATCCATCAGTGGCCCTGAAACAAGAGAGCAGAGGAATCACGCATAGAAAGGCAAGAATTTCAAGCTACATATACAAGCTATATATATATATATCCCTTCTCATTATGATACCAAACAATCCCAAACCTCCAGCCTAACCCAAGAATAGAACAGTTACTTTTGTCAAGATGGGAGACAACTTTGGGATGTGGTGGCAGAGATCAGAGCAGCACCAAGTGGGGTGTGAAACATGGCCATGGTGTGGGACACCACTCCCTCACAGCTGACACATCCAAGATTGAGTGGGAAGGGGGATCTACAATGTGCAAGGTGAAAACCTGGATGCAGTGAGTCAGGAGGACACTGCTGTGGCACAGGGAAGACAACTCAGCGATAACAAGCAGGTGCAAACACAGAAGCAACTGCTGTAGAGTGAAAATGCTTATGTAGCACATGGCTTAATGCAGGCTTCAAAGCCTCTCTGAAAGCACTAAGTGGAAGGAAGCAGCTCCTGAGCTAGCCAACTTTGTGACCTCCCAAAAGAAAGGACAATGCCATGATGCCAGGCTGATCTAAAGCCGCATCACTGTCCTGAATCACTCCACAAAAGGCTTCACATCAGCAGTGAAGATGGGGAGGTGAAATTCTGGCCCATAATAAAGAGATTCTCTGGTGAAGGACTAGAAAAGATAGACCTGGTTTGGCCCTTTAGTTGCCTGGGTCAGTACCCCAAGGCACCCATTTACCCCTCATGTCTGCACTGCAGACTGGGAACGGATCAAGGGTTCAGAAACAGGGCTGCAAAGCAGGGCTCTGGTGAAGTGCAGAAAGGGAACCCAGGAGAACAGGCCTAGGTGACAGAGACCAAGCTCTGCAGCCTGGGAGGGCACACAGAAGTTTACTACTGCAGTCAAGTCAGGAAGCAGTTCATCCTTTCCTGTTCCAGTCTTAAACAGGGTGCACCTGTGCTAACCATCTGAGGGACTTCCCAATTCCTTCTTCAGGTTGGAAACCAATTGACAAATATTCTGCCCCTGATTTTTTTCCACCCAATAGGAGCAGGGATATAGCAGTGGGGCCCACTTACGTGTGACAAAGCCAACTCCAGGCACGTAATCAGCCAGCAGGCGCAGGAGAAGGAGGATCCTGCCCCTAGGAAGAGAAAGAGTGTGAACAAGTCCAGCAGGACACCTCCTGTCCCGGCTGTTGAATGCACAAACAGCAATGGCAGCTGTTACACAAGGGCTCAGATTAACCTGGTCACAGGCACCCAGACCTCTTCAGATCTACTCACCCTGTCCCTGATGCTATTTCTGTTAAAAGGGAAATTTTCAGCAAAAGCCCAGCAGGGGCCCCTTACTCTGAGTATCGGTCATAGAAAGGAGATCTCAGCAGGTAATACAGCAGTAGGATGGTTCGTCGCCTCAGCTCCGCTCGCTCTCGCCTGTTCAGGTCTTTCAGATCACTCAGCAAACTCAGACTGGAAGGAGAAAGGCACAGAGCTAACTCACAGCAACAGCAGCCAGCAAGGAGAGAGCACGTTTCTAAATGCTCTCCCTTCTCCGCTCCATGCGGAGCGGGCTGCATCAGCTCAAAGCAGAGAGCACTCTACGTGTTGCAGAAGACACCTAAATGTGTCAGTCTCCCAGCTAAAGACCAGCCCCTGTGTGTATTTCTCTCAGTGGGACCTGCCCAGGAATGCGGAACAGGGGAAAGTGTGATGCTCAGCTACCACCAACTTCAAGCACCCACAAAGCCTCTTCCTCAGACTGACCTCGAGATGTCCAGGACTGCTGAGAGGAGCCAGGGTTTCCACGATCTCTGGCCCCACACTCCTAAACTCAAGACTAGGAACACACAGTCAAGGAATGGAAAGAACCAGAGACACCTAACAGGAGGCATGAAGACAAGCACCCCATGGGTGCCAGCAAAGTTTTGCTGAGTGCAGAATACACTAAGGCAGTTCGGGGGGGTGGGGCAGGCAGGGAAGGGGCTGGAGGACTTGCATCCACAACTCCAGCAGCTGAGGCAAGCCTCTCAGGTGTAAAAGAAGGCAGGAGTCCTGAGGCCCTGCCTAGGCAGAGCAGGGCAGAGAGAGAGGAGCCTGGCACGGCAGTGCCCTGCACCAGGGCTTGAACCCATCTGTAGCCAGGGCAGGATACGATGGAGCAGAGGACGGGCAATGTAAAGGGATTCTGCAATGGTTTCTTGAAGACCCAGAGGGGTGGGAGGCTGGTTCATCTCCTCTGCTCTTCGGCTCTGCGACTCCTCCCTCTGCTGGGGGGAACCCCAGTGCCGGGACTGCAGGGATGGGGCTGAAACAAGCACATCAGGTCAGTAACACAAGTAAAACCTTCCTCCCATGCTTTCCTGAACCACCACTCTGCTGCTTTCTGCACTGTCAAAATGTGAAATGGGAATGCTTGAAGAGCTGAGCACACAGCAACTGTTGTGGCTGACCTGCACTCTCACAGCCTTGCCACCAGAGGGGACAGAGCAGGGAGAGGTACTTGCAAGGTCTGTGCTTCCTAAAGCATAATCAGGCTGAAGGGCTGTTTCCCTGTTGCTTTCATATCCCCTCATCCATAGTGACTGACAAGGTATGTCCTAGTAGAAGGTTCTGCTCTTTACTGCCCACACCCAGGTCACACATAAAGGGCACAGAGCAGAAACAGCTCAAGCAAGGACAGAAAACAGGCTCAGCTACTTACTGCTCTGAAGAGAGCGCACAACACGGCTGGAACGCTTGCCAACATAGGTCTGATCCTTCCCTGAGGAGTTGTCTTCCATGTCTGCAGGAGAAAACAGCCACAGGGGTGAGGCTTCAAAGGAAAGTGCCTGACCCCAGAGCTGGCAGCACCCTTCCCTACACTGCCAGGCTGAAAGTTTGATCTAGTGCAAACCAGACTATGCTCAAGGGGCTAACGCTACACATGGAATGAAATCTAAATCTGCCTGGCATCACTCAGGCCTAGGATCTCTTTCCTCACTGCCAGACCAGGGGACACACAGCTTGACTCACAATTCAGCCAGGGGCTCACAGTTCCAGCCTTAGACTCCTCAACCCCCTCCTTCCTGACTGTAGGCCAACCCTGTCACTATGCTAATTCGTGCTCTGCAGAGGGTGGAAAGTTCAGTGTAACTCAGCTCGTGTACTGAAGTCTTACAGCTCCTTGTGCCACACAAACTGCTGCTTTGATGAGTAATTCCCAGCAGAACAAGACATGTGGCCCAGCGAGGCACCAAGCCAATGATGGAGCTCCCAGGGCTCACCTTGGGGGTGGAGAGGCTGCTGCTCCCTGTTCAGCGGCACGATGGGAGGAGACATCTGGATGCCACCTTTGTACCACAGCAGGAGCAGGAGGCGAAGGATGGCTCTGTGAGCAGACACGTGGAAGCCTTCAATACCAGGCTACGGAGGTGGGTTCCTGGTGCGCTGGGAAGGTGGCTTCCACAGAAGAGGGAAACACTCAGGTCTGCTCAGGGAAACTGGCAAGGTGAGAGGGGGAAATGTCCCCTTCTGTGGCACAGTACCCACCAAACTGTGGGGCTTCAAATTCCCCCAGCCTCAGGGACTGCCAGCTCAGTCCTGCTTGGGCTTTTTCCAGGGGTACTGCTGAGACCCCTCCAGATCCCCTTACCGAGCACATGCTGCCCCTTCCCCTCCGCCCGAAGCACTTACTTAGCCAGCTGGATGAGGACAATGATGGTCCACCGGCCCATCTCCCCCCACACCCTGGCTGTCCCCATCTCTGCAAAGACCTCCACGCATTCTAGCACACTCAGCCAGGTCAGCAGCTTCTGCTGGGGCAGCGACTGCAAAACACAGAGGGGAGGAGGGGGACAGGATGCAGGTTCTGCAGGGGAATTAAACAGGGCAGAAGTACACCCAGTCTGGTGGGACCCTCAGAAATAAGCACAAGATGGGCTTGGAAGGCACAACCCCAGAAAAAAAAAGTGGTGCCCCCACTGCAGCCAGTCTATGCACAAGCCCAAGACACCACAGTATCACACAGAGCCACTACCCTAGAAATAGGGAAAACATTACAGCTGCATCTTGGTCTGCCTTCTACCCCAGCTGGGACAGCAGGACTGTCTCTTGGGTTGTGGCACTGTGCCCAAACTCCACAGCAAAACTTTCCTCCTTCTTGTCCCAGAGCTGGATTACACAATGAACCTCCTTTCTTGTTAGAGTTGATGAGGGTGTATGGTCAGAGTAGAGGGAAGGGGATTCAAAGTCACACCAGAGTGAATGCCTGCTGAATACAGCACCAGTCTAGATTCCAGGCATGAACCACAAGACAGCGAATGCTTTTCCAGTCTGGGGCCCTGCTTCCCACACAGGAACTTGCTGGTACCACCAAC